AGCAGACAGCAGCACGGGTCCATCAGCTTCAGTAAACTCACCAACGGAACAGGTTTCTAGATTTGTTACAAAACTTAGTTTCAGATTGGTTTGCAGGAATATCAACCTTTAATTAATGCAATAAGAGGGGAATAGGCAAACAAGTCCAAAGCCTCCTTCTTAATAATTGTCTATTTGTTTATTATTACGGCATCCACAGGCTATTTGGCTGAGAAAATACTCTTAAAAGTGCACACACACAAAAAAAATATAAAATCAGCCGTTTGTTTTTCCAGTGTGGGGGTTTACACTAAGTTTCAGCAACATAACGTACCAGATATTTGGTGTTACAGATGGTTGTGGGTAATCAGAAATACTTGAGGGAGGCAGGGAAGGATGTACTTTTTGCATCTCTTACTCAGAGCTAATGCCTTGTCAGTAGCTTTTTAGCAAGAAATTCAGCAAAATTGCATTGGATCAGAACAACTTCCCCAAACCCGAATGAAGAGTCAGCTAGAGGAGCTGCACTAAATTTGCTAAATGCATGCTAACGTTGTGCTGGAAGTTGCACTTGTGGTTCCAAAAGGGAGTATAAAGTTTTAATTTTATTTGCAACTGGTGGCAGGCAGGACCCTCTTGGCATGTACCCTGAGAGCTCCAAAAGCCAAAGCTGCTTCTTGCATCCCTCCCGCCCTGTTTTTGCGCAAGTAGCAGGCTCTTCCCTTGTTCCCAGCTCTTCCTCCTTCTCAGTGTTGAAGTTTCAGTTATGACATATTTCAATTAGCATTCCAGCCCTGTGATCAATGACCCTTGTGCCTTTGAAACACAGGCAGCAAGGCTCACTCCAGGAGCAGCCACCACAACACTCCATGCAGGTTCCAAAGGGTTAATCCCAGAGTGAATTCTTCAGATGTGTAATTTAATACTTCATAACTGCTGAAAATTGGAGCCCACATAATTTATTTTCTTTGGTCTGGGCACATTTGCCTCATGCTTGGCTGTGGCTGACTTCAGAGAGACACACCTAAAGCCCTCAAGTGTCCCAAGTGGCCCATGTCAGCTATGCAGAGAGATTGTGGTACTTGGAGGGAGCCCAAGGATTAGGTGTTCCTGAGGTTTTTTTGGCTCTACAAAGCCCACGGATGTCATGGGAATAGGCTGCACTCCTCCCCCCGCCTTGAAGGCCACCTATCAACGGGGTATCTAACCACTCAGAGACAGGCCTTGCACAAAGGTATACATTAAAATAAACAGAACATGCGACCAAAAAGCACACAGAGAGCGAAGGAGGAATTGCCGAGCGGAGACGGGGAAACAATTGCTTCATTGTGAAGCCAGCCGCGAAGAACTGAAGAGCCGAGCTCCACCTACAGTCTCCTTCGCAAAGCTGGCTCCAGCAGCTGCGCTCAGCCTGGGCTTTCCTCTTTTGCCTGCTCCAGGACTCTTTTTGTGTCGGTGACTTTAATTTACTTTGTTTTAATCATTGTTTTCATGGCAAAGACATCCGCATTTGCATTGCAGCTAAATGTGAAAAAAGCACTGTCCAAGTACCATTAAGGTTAGTTTGCTTTCTGTACTTTGAAAGTAAATAGCCTGCTTTTGCCTAGAATTTATTTTAGGAATCTATCACTGGCTTTCATTTGCACCAGCTTCGTATCGTCTGACAGTATTTCACATTTTTATTGCAGCTTGATTGCAGTACAGTAGTTTCATCATTCCAGAAAAAAAGAAAATAAAAATGTTTGCCTAAATTGTACTCTTGCCCTTCCTAAAAAAATTCAAGCTTCGAACATGATGGAGGTTGTAACTTTTATAAGCAGTAGCCAGCCTCTGAAAGAATCAAGTAGAATCATCCCTATTTTCTGCTTACAAAACAAAAATCTTCAGATATTAATTCAAATTTTGACATTGGTGGCACACAACAGTATCTCCTCCAGAAGATACATATTTGAGGCAGAGTACTGGATTTACATGGGGAGGGGGCTGCAGGCAGATGAAGCCTGGTCACCCTCCTGGCCTCACCGCATTTTTGTAGAGCTTGAGGGAGCAGCAGGGATGAGGTGAGCACCATACAACACTTCCAGCCCTGTTGCAGCTTCATGGTGGGTTTTCACCCAGGTGGCTCCTGCTGTCTCAGTACCTGGGGTACAGCTCTTCTGCAGAAATTATAATCCCTTCCTGAGGGGGAACAGTGACCTTCAAAACAATTGGCCTTCAACAGATTATCTGGACAAGTCCCCAGCTACCAGACCAGTCTCCCCACACCAGCCAGGAGAGGAAGCTGCTCATTTTCAACACACACTTTTATGAGGCAGATATTTAACCTGTTACACTATGATGTGTAAAATTGTAAGTAATGAGCGGGTGGCTGATCTCACCAGTCTTGAAACCCCCTGTAACACGTGGGTTACCAGGTCTGAATCACACAAAAGTAATGCCAAATTTGTATGCTGTTTCAAAGGAGCATGTGGGAGAAGGAGCATCTAACTGATGCAGAGTGGAAAAAACAAAACAAACAAAAAAAAACCACACACCACAAAAAAAAAAAAAAAAAGCAACCCACAACACAAAAACCCCTGAAACAAGAAAGATGTGAGTCAAATAAAAGCTATAATGAAAACGTAAGGGAAGAATATCCACTTTTATGGAGAGAAGTATATGTTCAGTCAAGCTTTTGAGAACTTTCAGCCTTGACAAACTGCTTTCCATTTAGAGAGAAGATATATTAATAAATGTATATTTAATCCTATTTGAAGGGGGTAAAAAAAAAAGAAAAAAACTCACAAAAAAATCCCAAAACAGAACAGTTGTGGCACTGATCCTTCCCATCACTGTAAACCAGAGAAACTCCCCTATCCCACCTCCCAAACTGGTACCAAAAAGGATCAGAGTCAACTATGGAGTTCATGTTGTAGAAAAATAGATATTCATTTTATCGAAACATCCATCTGCGCTCGGGTTGAGTTTCTACCTTCCAAAGTGCCAGGCCCCACATTTATGAATTAATTTTTTTTTTTTTTTTTTTTTTTTACAGGAAACCCTGAGGAGAATGTGTGTGCTGCATTTCTTCACTTCAATACTGATATATCTGATTTCCCTCCAGGACAGACCAAACACTAAATAACACTGAACAGGCTGAGTGCGCAGCTAAAATACTTGCAATGAAAAGTTTTCATTCTCAGCTTATTTCCTGGTTTACAAAAGCTCTTATCAAAAAAGCTCTCTAAATTGGAATTAGTTAGTGATCCAGGTCTCTAAAGCCCAAGGACTGGAAGTGAAGATTTCTTAATTATACCAGCAGGGGCTTGATTTCTATTCTTAGTGCAGCTGGGTAATGCTGTTAGGTTCTTACAGAACACTGTTTTTCATTGACAGGGATAGCCCCTACTTTACTTTGACAAAAATTATGGAGCTCTTTTAAACTGAAGCATCTTCATGCCAGAGCATGTACACTTCAGCCACACACCCAACCACTTCTTCAGTAGAGCCCAGGTTCCTTTAAAGTTCAATAGCTCCTCACTTGGGAACCTAATCACCAGTCTAAGAATTTGAACTGACCTAATTTTTTTAATTTCTCTTTCCCCCTGCTCCCCCATGGACTTTTGCAATACCTCAGTTTCCCCCTTCTTCCAGGAGGAACCAGCTGCTCAGGTACAAATTCATCCAAAGAAAAGGCTACAGGCTAGCCCCATAAGAAGCTTTTGGGATCATGACCCAGATGACAAGCTGTATCACAAGAACCCCCAATATTAAAAACACACACTCATAGTAACTGAGCTTCTGAAAAAAATCACTTCCCTCTTGTACCCAACCAAAACCAGCCTCGCACTTTACAGAGAACTTAAAAAAAACCAAACAAACAAAAAAAAACACCACCACCACCAAACAACAAAACCAACAACATTAGCCAGGAAAAATCACTACAGATTAAATATATAGTGCTAAAATCCTTGAAATAGTCTAATAAAAAAAACACCTTACTAAGATATAGAGCAAGAGCCAATAGCTATATTTTCAGTGCACTGGGGTAAGGGGCAGGGAAAGGAGGCATATTAGTTTACCTTTTCAAGACTCCTGGACAGAATCCAAAGAATTGGGCTCAATCCTCAACTAGGTCTTATTTCTTTTCCTCTCATTAAAATATTTGACTTATACTGGCAGTGTTCCCTGAAGAAGATTTAACTCTAGACTTTGAAAAAGATAAACAGCTGTAGCTGTTAAAGAAACTATTTAAGTCTCATAATTTGATGGTTGCTAGTTGCCTTCACAAGAAGAGGTTGGTGGTCATCCTCAGTATGTCTCTTTTTTGCCCACACAACACACAAACACACATAGAAAATTCCAGCAGGGCAAGTCAACTGCATATCACAAGGCAACTGGTGGTCACATGCAATGCTATTTTTGCTAAAAGCATAGAAATTCTGCATCTTTACATTCCTATCTGCTCAAGCTGTTTTATCAAACCCCAAACTTTCTTGCTGGGAAACTGTTCTCTCTTTGGTACCTTTTTTGCCAAAATCCAACTGTAACAACAAAAGTTTATAAACAATGAAAATTCCAGCTGCTTGACATCAGCAATGTGAAGCTTTCACTTCACACTGATACAAATATTTACCCTGAGCTCTGGCAAAGCTTTCCTTGCCCATGTCGCCCTTAATCATACATTTTTCCTTGATTGAGTTATGCTTTCCAGTACGTGATTTGCTCTGGTTTACTTTTTAACACATCCCAGAGGCTTCATCAAAATCAGCTCTGTACAGGCCATGTCATTTGGTAGCTGCCAAACATGCTATTCAGAAGGACCTTGGCAAATAGCAAAACAGTGTCTTTCTCTAACTGCTCTAATAAATGTGTTTGTTCTTTTCTGACCACCATTTATTTTTTTAGATCCCACATATCCATAAAGCAATGAGCCAAGAAAGTAAGCAGAAACACACTCATTTTCCCTTTAATCTACTCCCTTGAGGCAATATGCTGAGTTCTCTTACAGACACCTTATAGCTAAGAAGCTGCAAACTATCAATGACTCACTTTTTATTATTATTTATGAGACAGAAAGGTTATTATCAGAGGGAGTAATAATAAAGAATCACACTATTGCTGTTTTAATACTTGCAAAACTAAATATACAGGAGTCAAAGCAAACATATGTCTACCTGAACAAATGGGATCACCACAGACTATTTTGACAATTATAATATGTTCTTCCAAAAGAAATAAAAATTGACAGCTTTCTCAGTTGCATTTGTATAAAGCCAAGTGCAATAAGGAAGAAAATCTCATCCTCTGTAGCTAAAATGGAGAGGAGAAATTTATTTAAACCTAAAATATTAATCAAGATATTTTTCTTTCCTTTCCCTTTTGATGCCACTCCACATCCTGCTTTTCACTGGGAGAAGGAGGAAAACAACAAAGACAAAAGATGTTGCAGAATTTTGGGCCCTGGGCAGAAGTTACTGTAACTTCTGGCTTACCTTGTCTGCAGGGATGACCATAGACTGGTCTCTGTGAAGCAAGATGGAAATTCTGCTACCAACTTGAACAGTATTTTATTTGGAATGTGTATTTACTCGACACAGTTGGCTGTAAATATGATTAAACACAGATTGAGACAAACTTCTTGTTTGTACATTTTTTCCCCTCAATGTCCATTTCATAATTACTTTTCTTTCCCAGAACTTCATCTGACATTATACTTTCAAGAACAAACAAGGAGTTGTTATTGAAAAACAAAACAAATGTTTGCAAAAATAAACTTTTAGATGCTTAAAAGTCAAATCTAATACCCAAGCCCATGCTCAGTATACTAACACACGATCTGAAATGAAATCTGAAATCAAATCAAATTTACAGTGTTGATCCATAGTACAAGTAAGTCAAACTTAGGAGTGCTCCCAACTCTTCTTTAAGATGGATGAGTCATCCTTGGGCAGAGACAAATAAACTGTACCTGAAGTAGTTCTAAACCATTGCATGTAACTAGGAGCCCATCAAGTAAATGAGTGACATTTACAGGTTTCAAATAAAGAGAAATGTGAGGATTACATTAATTAACAAAAAGAGGGTCAAGGATGAAAACAAAGAACTCGTGACCCACCTGAAAAATAACTCCTCCCAAATTTATTTACCATTTCAAGAACATTTTGATGCATATATTACATAATTTAGGGTCACATAATCATTAGGTTGCCACATAAGTGATTTGAAACACAAACATTTCAGTTCTGAATTCCAAGAACAATTCTTTTCTCCTTTCCCTCTCATCCTCCACCTCCCCCTGCCTTTTTTTTTTTCGCCTTATCTAAAGTTTGTTTACTACTGGTGTTTCACATCAAAACTAAGAAAATTTAGAAAAAAAGCCCTTTGTGTTAATAAGTCACACTAGGTCAGGTCAAAACTACAGAGTAGAATCATAAATTGTCATGTAATCTTTACCTAAAGATTAAATACTTCAATAAAACATTAATCCTATGAGAATTTAAGTATTTAGGATTTAATTAAGAAATTTTTCTTAGTTAATGTAAGGAAAAAAATATATTGAAATGTATATATTCATAAGTCCTGTGACCCTGGCATCAGCTACAGTTTACCATTAGGACTTTTAGGAGAAGTGGAAAAAAAGAAAAGCAATCTGGGATGACTTTTCTATGGGAATTTGTTAAGCAAATGACAGATTCACACTTCAAGCTGGTCACTGCACATGACGAAAGTACAGCATCTGCAGTGAATTTTCACCTCTGGCTGAAGGAGAAGAAACATCCAGGGTGGCCCCTTTTCCAGTCCCAGCATGGCAGGAATAAAGATGACTGATGCTTGTTATGAAAAATCAAATTAGAAAAATCAATGTGGAAAATTTAGAGTACAGATTGAATTTAATCTCTCACATTTTACTACCATGTCCCAGATAAATCTAACACTTGCATTACCTAGCTTCAGTCTTTAAACAGAAAATATTTTGAAGTTGCTAGGTACATGCTGAATGTTTCGAAATCCTCTAGTAAAACCACGTTTTAATGTCAAAGTCATTTAGGAACCTAACACTCATATGCCTCTATTGGTTTTATATATATATATGTATATATATATATATATTAAAATTTTATTCCAAAACACATTAGGGGCATTTTACTATTTGTATTAAGACAGTATGACAGGAATCCAGTATCTATAGATAATGCGGCTGCTGTCAGCCTTACATACATGTGTTTTCATGTCTCGAGTTTTGGAGTTCATTTAGAAATAAAAATATCCTGACCTGATACTAGGCTGCCAGAATTCCCCCAAAGCAACTGGAGAAATTAATTATCAGAAAGAGCTAAAATTTAAAGAACCTAAACACACACAAAAAAAAGTCCCAAACACAGCAACGTAGCACATTGGCTAGTCTCAGAAACAAGTGATGTTTTCTTTACCTAACAATGTATGAGCATCTCAGCTGGTCATTCTGAACACCCTCCATAGTCAATGGACAGGAAAAGGTGCCTCTAGAAAGTAATTTATTTAATTGCAAAGAAGAAAGGTAGAGCTCAATTCAGCTACCAAAACCAAATTATCTGTGCGTCCTTCAAATTACATGACGCAGGGCATACATATGGAGCACACAACCACCAGAACTTGAAGCAGGAGCCTAGACAGGAGCTTCTTATTAGGTACTTGTGGCCAATCCACCCCCAAAATGCATTATATTAGCTACACCTTAGAAGCCAATATTCTCTCTGCTGACCAGTAAGGTAGCCCAGATAACTAGCTTACCTATAGGCATTCACAGTACAGGGAAGTGAAGGCAGGGAGATGAAACCTAACCCATGCACCTCCCATGCAAAACACACAACATGTCACAACAAACTGAACTGCAAAGGAAATGGGAGTTTCACATGACCTTACAGGTAATAAACTCAGATGATTAATAAGCAAAGAAAAATATACAAGAATTAAATCTTTCTACAGATTAAAAATGGTAGTTCAAATATACCACCAATAATCCAAGGAGAGATTTACTATCCCCACTTGCAAAGTACTCTGATTTCTAGAATCCATCCTATCAGCAGTCACTGATCAGAGGAAAAACAGAAAAACACTACAAACAATGGCTGAGACAAGGAAACAAAAGCCACATGCTTTATTTCTCAATATGCTGACACTGAAATTTTTAAAGTCACAAGTGAAATTAACAATTTGGACTGAAATCACCTTCCAATGTCTCCAATGTTCTTTTGTCTCCAATTCTGTTGGAGTTAAAAAAAAAAAAAAAAAAATCTAAAACCCTTCAATGCTTTTGACCACATTGAGGAAAACAACAAAACTGTACTCAGATAAGAAGCCTTTGTTGAATAAGTCATGTTTTACATAAGCTGCTTTCAGTCAATAAAATGGTTAAGCCAAAACAGTCAGGAAACCCTTATTTTAATCTTACATGCTTATGAGCTCAAAGCTTTTCAGCAACTGGAGTGACAAAAATGTCATATTGACTCCAACATCCAAATTTAACTATGGATTTCAATAACTGCTCTGAAGGATTTACTGAAGTTTGATGCACCTGATGCAACAAATGACAGCTATTCTTCACATACGTTGTGTACTTCTTCCAACAGCCTCTATATATTTCTTTAACTTAGAAAAGTCTCCTGCTTCTTTACCTGTTCCCTCAGTGTTTGTATCTTCTTCCTAGTATTGAAAAAAAGTAGATGTTTTTATGCTTCACCTGCAAACATTGACTTGCTTTTCCTCCTGTGTTTTCAAGACTGCAAGAGCTTAAGCGGAACTGGGCAACTATGTTGTTCTTTTCTCAATAGTTAGATTTGTTCCCCCACCAGTGTCAACAGGAACATTAATTGCTCTAGCAGTTCTGTTTGTCATTCCAGGCGCAGAGTCAGTAGAGGGAGCACAAGAGCCCACAGAAAAAGAGGTACCAAAAAATCCTTACTGAATATTCAGCCATCATTATTTGTACTGGGGGTGGGGAGAGGTATTTTCTTGAATATGCCTATCTCACCAGGTAAAAAATGCTTAAAAATTCTGCACAACAATCATATTGTTCTGAGAAAAAAAAACCAAGCCAAACCCAAACATTTAGCAGTATAGAACTAAAAGCTGCAAAGCACTCTCTCACCAAGCAGAAAAACAACTTTCTTAAAATAGGCATCTTAATCATAATGCTGAATAACTTCCTATTTTAGTAACTGCCACAAATTATTTCTGACCATATTCAGTACATAGCTTGTAATAAAATATAATGATCACAGCATAATTCATCAGGATTCACCAAAAGCTACAGTTCTGTTGAGACCTTGGCTAAAATTTTATTTGTTACATAACTGAAAACAAGACAACTTTCTTGGGTTCACAAATCTCAGTTCAGGTGCCTCCAAAATTTGCTGAATTCCCAAGTTTTTCAAGAATCCCTCGCATCTGGCTGCTGGAAATCTCTGGACTCAGCTTGAGAGAACTTGCAGCTATTTATGTTTTTTTTTATCAAAACTATGGGAAATTCAATTATTTTTCATGGTTTTGGATTGCTATCAAATACAACACTGCATTTCTAAGTGTGCCTCATTTCAACTTTTCAGTTTTATTTGAAAAGTAAGTAAGATCAAAAGGACAAAGTCTTTTCCTATTTTGTTGAATGTAAATCCAGAGTAATCACGCAGATTTTATTGGTGCTATTCCAGTGCTGCACTGTTTCAAATGAAAACTTTCACATGCATTTCAAGGCTGAGGGTCAAAAAAAAAAACAAAACACCCACCAAAACCAAACCACCAACTCTTTCCATGAATCCTTGCAAACCGCCAAACTGAACATTCTTCCCGTTATTGTGTATAAGTCTGTATTACATTTTGGGGTACAAAATTCTACCAGAGGACTGAGCACAGTTACATAGCTAAGCATATGCAAGACTATGCTCTTCCATGTCACCTCACATTAACTTACATGAAATTGTGTTCATTAGTCATGACTGGAAGTTGTTTGAAGACCCAGTTTTACTCATTTGGAACAGCTTTCAAACCCCACTCTAGATTCATTTACCCAGAGTATAAGATCCACCAAAATACCTTGCTGTTTTATTTTTACTTCCTATCCAAATCAACCAATTCTCTGTAAAACAGAAGATACTAATCTTTTGCTTCTTACATTTTCACACATTAAATATGGAGTACTATGGTTTTGAAGAATAATAGGAATACAGAAACAAGAAAATAAAAGAATATGAAAAACCACAAAAAAAAAAAAACAAACAAAAAGTCTCAACTTTGTACATAAAGTCTAGTACTCATTAAAGTTCTGGAGAGCTGCCCTACAAAGCCAATTGATTATTTCCTTATATACTAACACAGCTCACATCCCATGTCCAGAGATACGCATTTCACCATTTAAAAAACAGTGATCCCTTCCAGTCCTTCCATCTTCAAAAGATTTTCATCTGGCCACAGAGTATGCCAGCAAAACATTTCTTCCTCGTGCTCCTGATGGACTATTCCAAAATCAGAGCTCAAATATACACACTCAAGGCAAGGCCTCACAGGAAAGTCCAACCAAGCATTCAAAAGAAAGGAAAAAGGGAAAAAAGAATCTTCTGGAATATTTG